TATCTCCATCAGAACAACCTTCTGGATCCGCACCAGTCTGGTTTCAAGGCAGGTCACTCCACAGAAATGTCTCTCCTTGCTGTCTCTGAGGAACTGCACACTGCTAAAGCAGCCTCCCTCTCCTCTGTCATCATCCTTCTGGACCTGTCTGCTGCATTCGACACGGTGAACCATCAGATCCTCCTTCGCACTCTCCAAGAACTTGGAGTTTCAGGCTCTGCACTTTCCCTCCTCACCTCATACCTCAAAGACCGTACCTACAGGGTAACTTGGAGAGGGTCCGAGTCCGACCCTTGTCAATTAACTACAGGGGTCCCTCAGGGCTCTATCCTTGGTCTCCTCCTCTTCTCTCTGTACACAAACTTGCTCGGATCTGTCATTAGCCCGCATGGTTTTTCATACCACTGCTACGCTGACGACACTCAATTAATTCTGTCCTTTCCCCGCTCAGAGACCCAGGTCGTCGCACGCATCTCTGCTTGTCTAGCTGACATCTCTCAGTGGATGTCTGCTCACCACCTCAAGCTCAACCTTGATAAGACTGAACTGCTTTTCCTTCCGGGAAAAGAGTGTCCCACTCTTGACCTAACAATCAACATCGGCCCCTCTATTGTTTCCCCGACTCAGACTGCAAGGAATCTGGGTGTGATCCTAGATAACAAACTGGCCTTCACTGCAAACATCGCTGCTACAACCCTCTGCTGCCGATACACGCTTCACAACATCAGGAGGATACGTCCCCTCCTGACCCGGAATGCGACGCAACTTCTGGTCTAGGCTCTCGTCCCGCACCACACCGCTCCTCCGCTCACTTCACTGGCTTCCAGTAACTGATAGAATCCACTTCAAGACACTGGTACTAGCGTACCATGCTGTGAATGGATCTGGCCCTTCCTACATCCAGGACATGGTTAAACTGTACACCCCAGCACGTGCACTCCGCTCTGCATCAGCCAGACGGCTCGCTGCACCCGCACTGCGAGGGGGACCCAAGTTCCCTTCAGCAAAAACACGTGGGTTTGCTATCCTGGCTCCAAAATGGTGGAATGAGCTCCCCATTGACATCAGGACAGCAGAAAGCTTCCACACCTTCCGACGCAGACTGAAAACTCATCTCTTTCGACTCCACTTCGAGCGATAGAATTACTAACAAAGCACTTATATACTAATAAAAGACTGGCTAAGTTTAAAAACCTTAAAAGACCATAAAGAATAATTTTACAGACACGTACAACAAGGTTCTCCAGGACCTCAATAGGTGGTCGAGCCAGCCCAGAGCTTCAATAATTAAAATGAATATACTGCCTAGAGTTAATTGTATCAGTTCAATGCTTCCTTTATCGCCCCCCAATGGTCATTGGCAGAAACTACAGTCGGCAATTTCAAAATGTATTTGGAACAACAAGCGGCCTAGACTCAAAATGTCCACTACTCAACGAAGGAGACTTGATGGGGGGCTGGTAGTACCACATTTTAAATTGTATTTCTGGTCCTTTTCATTAAGACCTTTGATTAATTGGTTTGACCCCAAAGCTGTGGTTTCATGGCGGGCTTTAGAAGAGAAGTTAGGTTCGGCCCTCTGATTACTCATGTAATTCAGACTTGGCGAAATGCACAGAAATTATGCGCTATTCAATTCCCCTGGCATCTCAATTTGCCAATATTTAATAACAACCAATTACTCATAGGGCGGAGGCCTATTAATTATTCCCAATGGGGGAGGAAGGGTCTTCACACCTTGGGAGATATTTACAGTGACAGTGGTCTCTGCTCTTTTCAGGATCTTAAAGGCTGTTATGACCTTCCAGGCACCTCTTTCTTTTTTTATCTACAGCTTAGGACAGCCCTTAAGGCTTAGGCATCCATTCCACATACTCATCACTGATAGGAAAACATCCAGGGGCTTTGTCTCTATGTTTTATACTCACCTACTTGAGTCCTCTTATGGTAACCTCCCCTTAGATAGACTGTGGAGGAAGGATGTCCCAGAATTGAGACCTGATTTTAACTGGGATTCAGTCTGGGCTAACATTCGTCAGGCGTCTCGCAATCCCGATCACCAACAAATCCACCTGAACTATGCGCATAGAACTTACCTGACACCCAGACGGCTCCATATGATGGGTCTTCTGGCAGATGCTCGGTGTACCCTGTGCTCCATGGGGGCTCCTGGTACATTTCTCCATATGTTCTGAGAATGCCCGCCTGTTGCTCGCTTTTGGAACGTGGTCTCCTCTAAGTTGTCCGACATTTTCTTTGACTGTACCTGTATTTGTGTCTGTTTTTCTTTTGAATGACTTATCTCAGCTGCCGGCTACTGGGTACCAGAAAAAACCTCTCTATGCTGGCCTTACGGCTGCCAAGAAATTGGTTGCTATGAGATGAAAACAACCCGACAAGCTCTCAGTGACCTGCTGGTTACTAACGTTTCTTGACGTAGTCTACATGGAACTCTCCACTGCACGCGTGATTGGAGTTAAGGAGTCCAATATCGGTTTATGGGTGTCGACAGCTGAAAAATTGAAGGAGCGGATCTAGCAATCTTAACTGATATAGTTGTTTGCAGTCATTGGTCCTGAGAGGTCCTGGGATTGGGGGTGGGAGGGTTTATTTTTATTTATTTTCCTCTTGTCTGATTGTTGTTATTGTTTGTTTTTTCTGTATTTTTTGTTGTGATTGTACATTGTATTTTTCTAAATGTGTGTAAAAGCATTTGATCAAAAAAGAAAATAATTCTGACTAGGTTTGTACTCAAACTATTATGGTCCAAAAATATTGTCACAACAAAGCAAATAACTGAATGAAAATGTGAACACAGAGATCCTTCAAAGACTGTAATGTATCACTAGCATGTCCAAAAAAAATACTTTTAATAAACTGCTTTGATAAACTTTGAAAGTCTGTCAAGAGGCTCATTTTTGACTACAAGATTTGTTCAAAACTTTGTTTCTGTTTTCCTTTACAAACTGTGTTAGGGTTAACTATTTATACTGCAGTGTTTATCTAGTGCTTTCCTCTAGGATTCTTGACACAGCTAGGATAAAACATCTGATGAAGACAAACTGGTTTTGGTTACCAGTGGATGCCCAAATCTGCTTCCAGACGCTGGTGCTAACCTACCTCTCAGGTCTTCAGGGACTGGTCAGCTTTCTGTCCCCAGAGTCAGAACTAAACATGGTAAAGTAGCGTTTAGTTATTATGCTCCAAATATCTGGAACAAACTCCCAGAAACCTGCAGGTCCGCTGCAACTCTGAATACTTTTAAATCCAGGCTGAAGACTTTTCTTTTTGCCACTGCTTTTAATTGAAACCGAGCGGTTGTGTTTCGTTTTTGATTAATGCACATTTGGGGCTCTAACCCCAGGGAATCAGTGTCTGGGGACTTTGTCCTGGCTGGCTTTCTCTGTGTGTGCTGCTCAGGACGTATGTGCCATACAAGCGTACACAGCTCATGTTCGGAGAAACCTTAAAGAAAGGCATCAGTAAAGTGGAACTTCTGTGTGAACTATTCATATCTTAAACTGCACTGTAACTTTTTATTCATCTATTTTTTTTCTTTTAATGTTTATTTTTTTTATCTTTGCTTTTTAGTGACTGTTTTTAAATGCCTTTTTCTGAATGTCTTTCATTTTTGTAAAGCACCTTGAATTGCTTTGAAAGGTGCTATATAAATAAACTTGCCTTGCCTTGCCTTGCCTTGCCTTGCCTTGCCTTGCCTTGCCTTGCCTTGCCTTGCCTTGCCTTGCCTTGCCTTGCCTTGCCTTGCCTTGCCTTGCCTTGCCTTGCCTTGCCTTGCCTTGCCTTGCCTTGCCTTGCCTTGCCTTGCCTTGCCTTGCCTTGCCTTGCCTTGCCTTGCCTTGCCTTGCCTTGCCTTGCCTTGCCTTGCCTTGCCCTTCCCTTGCTTGCTTGCCTTGCCTTGCCTTGCCTTGCCTGCCTTGCCTTGCCTTGCCTTGCCTTGCCTTGCCTTGCCTTGCCTTGCCTTGCCTTGCCTTGCCTTGCCTTGCCTTGCCATGCCATGCCATGCCATGCCATGCCATGCCATACATTAACAAGAATGATACAAAATGATCAAATTATACCAAGTTTTCCCCCAACTTCCCCCTGTAAGTCCAGTGTGGATTTTCCTGCATGGCAGTGAAAAGGCAAAGAAAATGAAGGAATGGGCTCAGACTTCAGTACACTGAAAAAACTGAAACATTGTCTTAATTAATTAATAAAAACAAATTAGTAAAAAAAGTCAACAGATTTTACATAACTCCATCAGGTTAGTAGAAAGCGAAAATATTAAGTTGAATCTATTTAAATTAATATTATTGATTCCAACTAACCTAATATACTCTGTAAATACAGTATTTACCCCAAAATATAAATATGTAAGAAACTGAGTACAGTAAAGTAAAACATAATATGGCAAAAACTATATTCAAAGTGGAGACCTGTGCAGATTTAAAAAGTAACAGAGGGGAAGAAACTGTTTCCTGGAGTAAATCCACAAGCTACCCTGCAGTATACAAAGTCATTCAAACTAGCTGCACCTTTACCAGCTTTGAGAACACTTTCATGATCAATCATTATAAAACATATCATATATATTATTCTGAAATGGACCAATCTGCACAACGACTACTTTTACTGTCTTTCACTATATTTTGATGAGAATACTTTTCTACTTTTACTTGAGGAACATTTTGAATGCAGGACTTTTACTGTAAGAGTATTCCTACACTCTGGTACTTCTACTTTTACTCAAGTACAAGATCTGAGTACTTCTACTTTTACTCAAGTACAAGATATGAGTACTTCTACTTGTACTTAAGTACAATGTCTACAATGTACAATGTACAAGTACTTCTCCCACCTCTGGCTAAATACAATATAATATAAGGTTAGGTACAGCAATGGGTGTGACTGTGTCGGTAAGGTACGATAAGCCCCCCCCCCCCCCCCCCCCCCCCCCCCCCTGCTGCAGGAGGATACATAAAGCTGGGCTGCAGCAGGTGGCTCAGTCATCAGGTGGAATATTGTCCCCGACAGCAGCTCTCACGCAGATCAGCCATGCTCCAGCTCCTCGCGCTCCTGCTGCTGCTGAGCACGAGCGGCTCAGCTCTTCACAACGACGCCACAGAGTCAGTACACGCGCATCCACCTCACGAGCCCGAAGACGAGCCGGCCGAGAAAGACCTGAACCAGGCGAGGAACGGCGGGAGAGGGCTGGCTGACTCTGTGCGTAACGGTGAGTCCAAACGGTTACGCATGGCGCGTGTGCTTACAGACTGTTAATTATGTGAATATATCATGTTATGTTATCTACAGAGGTGGAAGAAGTGCTAAGCTCCTGTACTTAAGCAAAAGTAGAAGTACCAGAGTGTAGGAATTCTCTGTTACAGTAAAAGTCCTGCATTCAAAATGTTCCTCAAGTGAAAGTAGAAAAGTATTCTCATCAAAATATAGTGAAAGTAGCGACAGTAAAAGTAGTCATTGTGCAGATTGGTCCATTTCAGAATAATATATATGATATGTTTTATAATGATTGATCATGAAAGTGTTCTCAAAGCTGGTAAAGGTGCAGCTAGTTTGAATGGCTTTGTATACTGCAGGGTAGCTTGTGGATTTACTCCAGGTGGAACTAAAGTCTGATTTAACACTTGATTATATTTCACATCATTCATCCACATCTGTGAAGTAACTAAAGGTATTAATACATGTAGTGGAGGAAAAGTACACCATATACCTCTGAACTGTAGTGGGTTAGAAGTCAAAAGTAGCAAACAACTGACAATACTCAAGTAAAGTACCTCAAAATAGTACGAAAGTACAGTACTAAATCTACGTAGTTACTTTACACCACTGGTAATCTTTTTGTAATGTTGTGGCAGATGGGCGCTGAATATTAAAGAGCTGCCCTGCTCATATTAGTATTATGGATTCCATGCAAAGTCTACATTTCGCTCTGCTAGAATGTGTCGATGTTTGTCTGTAAAAAGAGCATTCAAAATCGTCCATTTCCACTCATTTCATTAGAGGAATTTTAAAAGGCATAACTGGAAATGTAAAATCTAAGCCTTCAAAAGATAAATCTTTCCTGAATTTCTAAATACTCAAATTGCCATGTCTAGTAAGTTCAGCATCCCTGATTCGGGCAAAAGAAAAACTTTAGGATGGTTCATACAAAATGGTGTAGCAACTTCTCATGGGACTTTTAACAGTAATACCTCAGGTAGGACAACATTATTCACTTCATGTTATCCCAACAGTACAAGTTGCTGTCCACACTACTCACTCAGAATCAAATGTGGTAAATAAGTTTCCCCGTTGGAAAATAGCAGTTACCAATCAAAGCAAAAGCCACTTCCCTCAGGCTGGGACATTATCTTCCATCTGAACAGTGGTGTAAAGTAACTAAGTAGATTTACTCAAGTACTGTACTTAAGTACAATTTTGAGGCATTTGTACTTTACTTGAGTATTTCCATTTAGTGCTACTATGTACTTCAACCCCACTACAATTCAGAGGTAAAGTGTGTACTTTTACTCCAATACATGTATTAATCCCTTTAGTTACTTTACAGATGTGGATGAATGATGTGAAATCTAATCAAGTGTTGAATCAGACTTTAGTTCCACCTGGAGTAAATCCACCAGCTACCCTGCAGTATACAAAGCCATTCAAACTAGCTGCACCTTTACCAGCTTTGAGAACACTTTCATGATCAATCATTATAAAACATATATATATTATTCTGAAATGGAACAATCTGCACAATGACTACTTTTACTGTCGCTACTTTCACTATACTTTGATGCTAATACTTTTCTACTTTCACTTGAGGAACATTTTGAATGCAGGACTTTTACTTAACAGAACTTAACGTAATAGAGTATTCCTACACTCTGGTACTTCTACTTTTACTCAAGTACAAGATCTGAGTACTTTTCCCACTCTGCCCATGAATCACGTTTATCTCCCTCTGCTCTCATGTGTCAGGCCCGGACCAAAGCCAGGTGGGCTGCAGGGAGCTGAGGTCCACAAAGTACATCTCTGATGGCCAGTGTACCAGCATCAACCCCATCAAGGAGCTGGTGTGTGCTGGGGAGTGTCTGCCAGCCCACCTGCTGCCCAACTGGATCGGCGGGGGGGCTGGGGTTTACACTGGGAGGCACTGGAGCCGCCGCGACGCCCAGGAGTGGCGCTGCGTCATCGACCAGACCAGAACCCAGCGGATCCGGCTGCAGTGCCAGGACGGCAGCTCCCGGACCTACAAGATCACCGTGGTAACCTCCTGCAAGTGCAAGCGCTACTCCAGAGAGCAGAATGACTCGGGACACAAGGACAGGTCCGTCCACAGAGGGAACGAGAGGAAACTTCAGAGGAAGGCTGGACCGCCTGAGGAGAAACCTGGGGGGCAGACCGAAAATGAACAGAGTTAGTTCATCAGGAAGTGTGGGGAGGAAGAGCAGGGGTGCGGAGCTGATCCTGGATGAGCCATGTCTTCATGAGGATCGCAATTAGCGTGAGCATTAGCTATTCTTCATGAGGTCCACACGCATACAAACAGTAACATACTTTAGCCACCTGAACACAACACCTCATCTCATTTAGTTAACAAACAGGACTGAAAGTGAAACAATAATGACCATCCTGCCGCATCGTTAACCCACACACGAAACAAACACTTTCTCAATAATGATTACACACTTCTACACACATAAAGTAGTAATTTGTGAAAAACAGAAGTAGTAGTGTCTGAAAACACTTTCAATTAAATATTTATCGATCCTGTGTCTACAGAAAAGTGAAATTCCAAGAACTTCATTAAATAAATATTTAATCTATTATTGTGACAAATATTTTGAGATCTGTTAGCCTAGCTTAGCATAAATGCTGGAAGCAGGGGGACACCGCTAGCCCGGCCCCGTCCAAAGTACGACCACCTAGAAAGCTCAATGATTTGTATTGTGGTTTACTCTGTCCACAAAAAGGAATGTTAAAATCAGTATTTGGCTTTAGGGTGAACTATTTAACACTTTTCTCATCTGCCGTCACTTCTGTATGATGTCCAGCTTCACTGTGATGAAAGACCTCAGAAAGCTGCACACAGTCCCCACAGCTGTCAGTTCATTAGCAATAGCTTCAGCACATATATGTCATTTCTGTATGTGTACAGATGAAACAAAGAAATGGTGTAAAGTAGTGAGTTTTACAGAACCAGGCTCCCTGTTTCTTATTGCTTCCCCTCTTTATGCTAAGCTAGGCTATCTATGAATGGCATCTATTGGAATCACTTGCATGTCTAAATCTGACAGGGGTGAATCACGAACACATCTTGAGACATGATGTGTTCACTAAATGGTTAGAGCAGGCCTCTGTGCAAGTTAAGCTCTCAGCTGTGCTCTGTTAGGCAGCCAGACAAACCTGCAAAACACTGATTAACCTGATCCCAAATACACTGACAGCCATCCAGTGGGACTCTGGCAGGAATCATAACGGTGCTCATTTTACTGCAGAGAAGAATGGAGGAAAAGTTGACTCTAAAATCCCATTAATCCACTAGAATTTCAAGAACATTTAAGATGGCCAGAAACCAGATTTGACATTTAATATTAGGATTATATAAACCCTGTACTTTACAATGGTTTCCCTTTGATGTTATGGTAGCACACAAAAAATGGTTGTTGTAACAGGAAACGTTTTTTGAAAGGAAAGCTAAACAACTGCTCCTCACCAGAGGGGCAGGCAGGTGTTGGTTTTTATACTCACTTTAAATGAATATTTCGAGTACTTCAGATAAAATTGTCTATATGGAAGTTTTACATTCAGTATCAACAGTTTGACAATAATCAACACCAGTTCCTCATAATGTTTCATAGAAAATGTAACCCAGATGGCTTTATGATGACTTTGAAACAAAATGCTGTTCCAAATGAGTTATATAAACACAAGTTACAGGAGACAGGTCTGAGTATAGTCCGTTTTAAACAGTAAGTAGCTTCTCATCTATGCTCGATATGTGCATTTTGAACTGCTCTCAGAGTGCTGATCCGACTCGGTGTGTAACGCTGTAGAGCCTTTGTGTGAAGAATATAAACTATTATCTATTACATAATAAAAGCTCAACAGACTTAGGATGCAAGACATGTGAAACATAATGTTGCAATGGTTTATAAAAGTTTCAAATGTGAAGTTCGATGTATTAAATAGAATGATGCTTAGTTAGCGTGAGTGTTATGTACAATATGTGGGGAGATTTGATGGGTTTTTCAGAGTGGCATACCATTTATTTTTGTACCAGAACAGTCAAAGTTCTTTTTTTACATTTATAATAAAAACAACAATATTGTTTACAGCACTGTGTTTGTGTCATACTGCTGCCGGCATGCCAGACAGGCTCAGAGCCAACAGGAACTCTCTAACAACAGAGGCATTAGTGAGTGATGAGGCTCTTTTCATCAGACGCCACACTTTGTGTAACTGTGAAGGGGATACCTTCCCCTCCAGGCTACTGGGGCTTGTTCCAGCTGCCGTGACATGTTAACACTCTTTATTGTTTCATATATCCGTTCCTCTTTCCCCTCTGAAAGCTGTGGGCTGAGGCAGCAGTGAATAGAATCACCTGCACTGGACCACAGCAGGATGTTTGACTTGTCTTACCTGCACAGGGGAAATAAGTGATGTCTCTTTGTCCATAATATCCTGTGGGTACCGAACAATGCAGAGTCGAGGAATGTTGACGAGACGGTGCAGGGGGACACTTCTTACAGCAGGATGTGTATAGTTGGTTGCAAAAACATGTTGCTTAACGTGAAAATAAATACATTTACCCAAATACTCTTGCCTTAAAGCTTTCATTCTGCTTGACTTCAAATATAATTATTGCATATAAATCCCGGAACAGGGGGGGATGTAATTAATTAGTTTAAAACACAGCTCAAGCACTTCGTAGATCCTGATTAAAACAGTGACATTTGAACTAATTTGTGATGCATAGAAAATTAAGATTTTTAGTGTACACTTTCAAACTCACCCCACTGAGACTTAGCTAATTTGTCATTGCTATTGTAGCAAACAGTTGTTACACATGTACACACAGCAACATGATCCACCTGATGAAGTCAAGTATTCACTCTCCTTTTCATGAAATGGAAACATAAAAACATTGTTTCTTGCAGCTTAATAATATCACTTTGTTTTGTTCAGGCTACTGGGATTCCGTAACTAGGATACAAAAAAAGTAACTAATCCCTTACAGTGACAACAAATCAGATTAGTGTTACATTTCTGACAGAATTACAATGTTAGTCAAACCTAACCAGAGCATACAGTGTTTGTTGTAAAGGATCAGAAGTTGTCTCTTCTCTGTAAGCTGTACTGTTCTTTAGGCTAATACTTTAAGTGTGCATCTATACTGCCTACAAATAAAGTACAAAAACAAAATAGCAGATATGTACACCATGGTAAAAAGAAGCAGCAGTAGGTATATATAGTATATTGCGCAAAGTTTGATATTGATAGTGCGACAGTGTTATTGCACATCAGAACAGTTGAACTGTCACTGTTCAACTACAAACTTGGGGACATAAACACTGTCATATTAATCAATACATTTCTATAATGCTTCATTTTTTAGTAAAAGTATTTGATTGAGATTAAAATGCATTATAGTGTGTACTTCTTGCAGATAACCACAGCAGCACAGGCCCCAAAACTCTACACCACCAAAGCGCCACAATATCACCAGTCATTTTACAGGTCATGTTTAAGATTAGGATCATCTTTTATTAATCCCGATGGGAAGATTGAGTTCTTCACTCCAGTGTTATTTTAGAATAAGACACATAGGGACAAACACTCACAAACAGGACCTATAGACAGTGAAGAGGTGTCAGAGCGAAAAGGCTGCCAGTGTTCCGTCGCCGGAGAGCTGGTGGTTCGGTGCCTTGCTCAATGACACCTAGGCAGTTCACAGGAGGCTACCAGTCCACAATCTTTTTTGGTCCAATCAGGACTTGAACCAGCAACCCTTCGATTCCAAAGACAAGTCCCTACAGACTGAGCTACTAACAATGCATCGTGTCCAGAACCAACTTTAGTCAGAAGCCTTTCTGGGTCCGTTGTTGGTGAATTCTGCAACTTTTGCACAATCTGCAGTATTTTGTTAAAAGATGCTTAAATGATTGGAATTCACTACTGCTCTTACCAAAGTGATGGATAAAACATAAAGCTCTCAAATATGACTATTGTTCCCATGCATTGAGAATATAAAAGAAAGGGGCCTAATATGCAAATGTTCAGGTTCATAAAAGTATTTATATTTTATTTAATAACGCTTCTATTTGCTAGTGCTCCAACACATTGTACGTGATAAGCTAAGGGCAGGACATCTCTTAGCAGTTGACCAATCACAACAGAGCCGGCCAGCTAACCAATTAGAGCAGACTGGGCTCTGGTTTCAGACAGAGGGTGAAAAGAGGTGCTGCAGCAGTATGAGAACAATAAAGAGCTTTTTGAACATTAAAGCGTGGAGACATGTCACAGTAAATACTAATATGAAGTTCGAACCTGAAAATGATGAGAATACGCGCCCTGTAAAAGATACAGCTGAAATGAATGCACTTGTACTTAGAATGGAATGGCTTGTTTTTTGAGCAAACTAACCTGCAGGTTTCTTGCTGTTCTGAGTTTGTAATGGCTTGTAAACGTTATCTCATATCGGGAAGCACACAAACCTGCCACTCCGGACCTTAACGGTGATGCAAATGACCACTAAATATATTTGTATCACAAGACCTTGACTTTTGCAAGGAGAAGGCCCATCATCCAGCTACACTTATGACTTTGATAGACCAATGAAAAAGCCGATGAATGAGCAGTGGTGTTCTGTTTAATATGTCTTTAACTGCAGCTGAACTTTTTGCATTATCATGCATGTGAGCTGGCAGATATGGTCGTGGTTTAGGTGTGATGTTAAGGTTAGGGGTAGTGCTGTGTTAGGGTTATCTAAGATGTTGCAATACCATCAGTTATATCAGAAGTGGATATTTCCTCATTGAAAGATTTAAGAAATATTGTGCAAAGAACAGTACTGTAGGCCCATTCACCACGCTCTTTGTGATATCCCCCTTCAAGCTATAATTACATGTGTATTGGTGCACTCCTTAAACTTCCCCTAAACACAGGCTTTCAATAGTGAACCCTGATAGAACCCTAGTGTCTAATTGTATATTAAAAGAGCACTGTCATTCTTTGTATACATCAAACAAAGATCTAGAGTTCACACATGTCGGAAATGGAGGATTACAGCACAGTGATTCTACTCTTGTCATGGATCAATCATCAATCATCATCACAAGTGGGAGTCTTGGAGCCATGTAGTATTTTTCCCTGCAGTATGAATACTTTTTGTCGTATTGTATAGATCAAAGTATGGGCGGGAGCCACATCAAAAGCTGCAGAAAATCATCTTCTGCAAACATACTAAGTATAAAGACCAACATAGAATCATACAAAGGTCCGTTTTGTTGAGTGTCCTGTAGCCTGAGGCTGAAAGTTGCTGCTGCTGGATGTTTGTCTACATGTGTGTTCTGCAGTCAATAGCCTCAAACAATCAAAGGGAGTTTCATCTCTCTGCTGCGACACACCTGCTTCTCATTCAGCCAGTGAAGGATTCCCTCACAGCCACAACGCTCAGAAAACAGAGGAAAAACAAAGACATATAGAATCGCATGCCTTATTCTCAATTGTAATGCTGTTAAAGCAGCAGAAATAAGGCTGATATAAGAAAAGGAAAGTCAAATAAATGAATTAATCCCCACCACGTTGGTGTTCTTTGTACTTTGCACAAATACAAAACAGTGTATATGGATATAGTATTTCAAATTACTTTATTCCTTTTTACCTGATTTTGAATCAGTTGTTATAGAGGCAAGGGTATAGTCTTCAACTGTACACTCCCTTGTGGTAAGATCTGTTGTAATTCTGTGTATTTCACTTCACTGTCTGTTCTAGTATAGATTTTAAGATTTTACTGATTACTTTTAAAGCTCTTAAGGGCCTGGCTCCTGATTACCTCACTGACTTGTTGTGCCCTTATGAGCCTGTGCACAGTCTCAGATCCTCGGGTAGGCCTCTGCTAGCTGTTCCCATTACCAAGCTAAAAACAAACGGTGACCGGGTGTTCTCCGTCAGAGATCCACAGCTCGGGAATCTGAGGCTGGCAGAATCAGTGACATCTTTTTAATCACTTCTTAAAACTCACATTTTTAGTAAAGCTTTTAACTAATGATGACACCACACTGTTTTGCTCGACATCCATGTTTTATTTGTTTTACTTTCTTTCTTCTTATTGTATTACTGCTGCTATTGTTGAAATACTTTATGTTGTATTGGGTGTGTTTGGGGATCCTTGACTACATGCTTTGTTGCCGCCTGAACGGCCTGTTCTGAATCCATGTAAAGCACTATGTGATGTTGTTTTGAAAAGTGCTGCATACATAAAGTCATTATTATAATTATTATTATTTTCCATGGCGGAGCCTATCAATGACAGTACATGCATGGGTGATCACAATATGTGCGTCAAACCACCTCTTAGCTAATATAAGACAACCAAAGATTGTTAGTATAGATATCAGAGTTATTGTTTGTCTTAAAATCATTTTCTTTTGTGTTTTATGTTTGTACGCATTGATACATGTAGACATTATGAAATATTTACAACCGTACTTCTTTAATAATTATGTAGTAAAGCAAATGTTGTATGTTATATTCACGGTTTTTGGCCTTGAAGACTTTTCTTTTTGTCGCTGCTTTTAATTGAACTATTCATATCTTAAACTGCACTGTAACTTTTATCCATGTATTTTTTTCTTTTAATGTTTATTTTATTAGCTTTTCTTTTTAATGACTGATTTTAAATGCCATTTTCTTAATGTCTTTCATTTTTTGTAAAGCACTTTGAATTGCCTTGTGTTGAAAAGTGCTATATAAATAAACTTGCCTTGCCTTGCCTTGCCTTGCCTTGCCTTGCCTTGCCTTGCCTTGCCTTGCCTTGCCTTGCCTTGCCTTGCCTTGCCTTGCCTTGCCTTGCCTTGCCTTGCCTTGCCTTGCCTTGCCTTGCCTTGCCTTGCCTTGCCTTGCCTTGCCTTGCCTTGCCTTGCCTTGCCTTGCCTTGCCTTGCCTTGCCTTGCCTTGCCTTGCCTTGCCTTGCCTTGCCTTGCCTTGCCTTGCCTTGCCTTGCCTTGCCTTGCCTTGCCTTGCCTTGCCTTGCCTTGCCTTGCCTTGCCTTGCCTTGCCTTGCCTTGCCTTGCCTTGCCTTGCCTTGCCTTGCCTTGCCTTGCCTTGCCTTGCCTTGCCTTGCCTTGCCTTGCCTTGCCTTGCCTTGCCTTGCCTTGCCTTGCCTTGCCTTGCCTTGCCTTGCCTTGCCTTGCCTTGCCTTGCCTTGCCTTGCCTTGCCTTGCCTTGCCTTGCCTTGCCTTGCCTTGCCTTGCCTTGCCTTGCCTTGCCTTGCCTTGCCTTGCCTTGCCTTGCCTTGCCTTGCCTTGCCTTGCCTTGCCTTGCCTTGCCTTGTAAAGCTTTTCATCACTGTGGTTATGTAAACTGACCACTAGGGGGCGCTTTTGAACCCATACATTTGAATTATGATAAGCTCACAGTGTCTTTAAGTGCCGCTGTCGGCTCAGTACTGAAATGCATGGACTGCTGGAGCGCTCGCCCTGGCCATCGGAACGTTCGGGACGAATCC